CTAAAAAACTTTTTGGCGTTGTACTGGATAGAGAAAAAACAGGTTTGGGCCATTTTCCCGTGAAGGTTACAGATATGAATTCTACATAACTACAAGTAAGTAAACAACCAAATAGTTTACACAATGTTGATGGGGATTGAATGAAAACATAAACTTTTATTTTATTACAGATTTATTTATTTTAATGGTCACAAACTACTTTTAGGTAACATTGGTAGACTTTTATTTTAAACTATTATAGTAGTTTCTGGTTCAGGTTCGCCAATCGTGCACTAAACGGAAACAATAGTACAATTAGTTAATCTCTATTTATTTAACATTCATACAATCCATTTTTGTTGCAGAAGGTGAATACTTACCTTGTGTTACATTGTGTTCACGTGTTTATCATTGAAAAAACGTCTATGAAATGTACAGGGTCTCCGAGGACTCTTTACCAATATTTTAGAACATTCTTCCTGAGTAAGGAACATATCTAAATATTCTATTCTAACTGGCCGTAAGTCCTTAGTTACTCGCTCAGCCAACATTTGATATTTTCACTTAATTGTTTTTCCTTAAAAGTAGTTAAAGATACGAAATAGTAAGGATATGTCTAGTTGTCATACATTTTTGTGCAAAGTTTCAACTAGAGATAAAAACATTATTTATAAAAACTAGACAAAGCTACAAAAAAATATAACAATTTTTGAAATTCGTAAAACGAAATGGCGGCTATTTAAAACTTTTGTAAAATCAACGGTTTTTGAGTTTTTATAAAAAAAATAAATTGCCGCAAATATTTTATATGAATTTTTAAAATTTTCATTATTTTTTGGTAGATTCGCCTAGTTGTCATACATTTTTGGGCAACGTTTCAATTTCGTATCTTTTACAACAAAAAAAAAATAATAAGTCAAAAAAACTAAATGGTGGCTGTGCGATTAATTAAGGTCTTCCGGACGATACAAATATGATATTCAGATATATTTCTTATTCAGAAACAATTCTCTAATATAATGGTAGAGAGTTCTGGGACACCCTGTATATTTTAAACACGCGGAGTTCATTTTGTATCATAAAGATATTTTAAAATTGTTATCATTGACCTCTATAACAGCTATGGCTGATTAAGATGTTTTTTCAACGTTATCCACTGCTGACATTAACTACAGTGGGACAGACTTGTTATAAAATAAAGTATTGACAGATTTTATTAGGGAGCAAAAACAGCAACACTTAATTGTACTCGAAACATCACTTCCAAAGGATATCTACCTACTCTGCATACGCATAATTCAATTTTTTGCAAAGGTTTGCCTTGATTTGGGTTCATTACCCTCCATACCAAAAAGGAAAAACTTATGAAACCATACTCAAAAAGAAAGGTGATTTAATTTCACACAATTCACACGAAGTCGTCAAATATTTAACGACTTAAAATGATTACAGGTGAAATTCTGAAAATCAGTAATAACACGCTCCACTGTATTCGTTAACAAATTTATGATTATATTCATTGACTTCAGCCAGTACTAAGATTAATAAGGCAAGGAGTTAGGAAGTATAACTTAATGTAGTATAACATGTTGTTTAAGTTGCATACTTACATTAACCCATGCCAGAGAGGTAGCTAGTGCCGCCAGGAGGAGTGGTTTCCTTTATGCTGCGGTTCAGGTTTGGCAACCGTCAACTGAACAGAAATAAAAAAAATGTTACAGACTTTAATTTTTCTAAGATATATATAGTCATGTAGAAGCAAATCAGTGAATAAAGTACCAAAATTAGCTTTTTTATACTTACATCGACGAATGCCAGAACGGAAGCAAGTGCCACGATGACAGCTGATGCGAAAGACATCTGCAATAAAACATTTAGTTTAATAGACAGTTTCATTAATTGTTCAACAAATATCCATTAATATTTAACCTCATACAGTATGTGCATTTGTTTGGTACTATATTACATAGCACACCTATTTTTCACATATAAATGTTTACACTTAAAACTATTTTTATCTTTAAATTCTATTTTACGAGAGTTCAAATATACGTAAAAAGCGACTAAAAATTATTTTATCATCATTCTTATAGTTTGTAATTGAAAGAAGAAAACTTTATAAAGTACTCATGAAACAAAACAAAAAAAAAATAATGTTATCTAACATTTTATCTTTACGTATCCTGTGATACAGTCCTAACTGTACAGGGTGTCACAAAAGGTTTGTGGTGAGCAATGCAGAACTAGATTTCACATACAAATTAAGTCAAAATGCCTTAAGGGTTTTCTTTATTTTGACCTACTTTAGATTTAATATACCATTTTGTAGTTTTTAATTCAACGACCCTTAATAATTTGTTTATGAAAATTCAAAAATATTGTTTTTTAAGTATCCAGCAATAGGTTTTACCGTACTTTTTATATTTAAAAATCGGTTGCATTTTAAAATGTATGATATACATGTTAATTAATATCAACCAGCAAATCAAATTATTTAAAGGTTTTAAGTATTTATAGATCCAAACCTAATAGAGCTTTAACTGTACAAATCTGTTAGTACATATTATGTTTCTTTATTATTAATCATGTCAAAAGTGCCATTAGTTTAATAGTAAATGTCATTTAACAAGCATTTCAATTTCTTTATAACAATACAAAATTAGATGGACGCCAAAGATCAATGTTTAAATATTCCGCTTGAAATGATTTTGACACTTAATTTAAATCAGTTGTTAGGAACAATTAAGAAAATAAATCCAATTTAATATGATACCACTGGATATGTTTAAATAGTCCCATTATAGACTGTTACAATAAATACACCATGATTTTAATCTTACCTTTGCAGTTGGTTGGAGTTTACAGTTAGAAGTGATATGTATCCTCTAGAAGTTTACATGTTTATATACCTATTTCAACCGACATAAAACATATCAGGCGATCAAATCGTTAAAAATTAATTTGTAATAACAAGTAAGTAAAACACCATACAATGTAACTAAAAATCAGAGCGTTGTATTCATTAGTTATGGTTATTAACATTTGACAAAAGGTAATTAAATTTCTGTCATTCTGTTTTCTCTCAACTTATAAATCATATTACTTAAGATTTAAGAAGGATTTAACTAAATATTTAATATGTTTCATTTATATCAGGAAAATGTATCATGCAAAAAAGGATTTACTGATATCGTTAAAAATACAAGGTACCAAGTATCAATTTCAAAATGTTTAAATAAGTTCACATATGTTATAACTATTCGATATCTTGTGTCCATATAATCATCGAATTATGTTTTAAGTTCTAAAACCTAAAAATATAAATAAAATAAAACAACCATTTTGTCAAACTACTAGAGTCACTGTTTTTTGTTGACTTAATAGTAAAACAACCTTAGCCTCTTGATCAAAAAACATGTGTTTAAAAAAAAACACAACTTAAAGTTTATTTAAGAATAATTTCGTTGTCAATCAGCACAACAATCAACACGGCTGCTTTATTAGTTATTACCAAACTGTTTGAGCTACCGAATGCAGGGTTACCATAAAAAATCATTTATTCCTCTTATTGTTTTACAAACAGTTAAAACCCCACTATTTGTATTATGAAATACCCTATATATAGGGAAAACTGATCGTGCTTTTCAAACATAATATACAGAACACCGACCAGATCCTAATCCCCATGAACAAAAATCTGCGTTAGCTTAACACCTTTTAGATTTTTATCACTCAATTAGTGATGTTAAGACCGGCCTGGAAATTCTACATTATTGCAGGAAAGGTACATTAAACACACTCAAGGAGAATGAGATATATAAAATAAACAAAGACGAAGAATGAAAAAAATACACCAAATTACAGTTCCAATTCCACACCCACTTCAACACAGTTATCTAATCTGAAACAGCTGACCACCGAGCTGACAACAGAGAATAGATACGTGAAAGGCGCAACGAAACAAAATGTACACAATAAAAATGTGTATACGAAACATTATATTGACTTAATATAATCTTACGTTTGTGGAATTTTAAATTGAAGGAAAACTTCAAAATCGGGATTATTCTAACTAAAATCATCCCCTCAGTTTTCAGGGTTGAGTAGGGTAATTAAAATTTCCAAAATCGGTTAAGAATTAACTTCAGACAAAACATTAAAACAAAAATGTAAGGTCATATATGTCAAAAACATTTTTAGCGTACTCCAGGGCAGCCGAAACCACCAAAACAGGGAAATAAAGGCAACATTTCAAATTCAAGCATGAATTTTGGGATGAAGGAGTGAAGATGGGGAAAAATCTTTCTGTAAATCACAAAGTTGTAGATCGTTGAAAATAAGGAACTGTAGGTGCTCTCCGTTTTTTATCAGACCTACGATTGAGCCGCAACAGACGTTTAAACAAAGAAACATAAAAAATACCAAAATTTTAAGTTTAGAGTTATATAAAGGGTGAAGGGTGGAGATGGAAAAATAACATTTCAATACAATATTATAGCTAGTTTAAATATAAATACAGTAAGTGTTCTCAGTTTTTATTTTTTATTAGACCAATGGTTTAGCCAAAACAAGTGTTAAAAAAACGCATTTTCAGATATTTAAAAAAATCCGCTTTTTTTTTTTTTTTTTTTTTTTTTGTAAGGGGGGTTAGAGCCAACACCTATAGTTATGCCAAATTTCAGGTCCCTAACTCTTCTAGAAGTATGTTAGAATTTGTTTACCTGATCAGTCAATGAACCAGTGAGTTACACATGCGGCTGTATATTTAATTAGATTTTTCCTCCAGCTCTGGGTATATCCATAGTAAAATATCCTCAAAATTTGGGAATGTTTTTAATGATTCAAACCATTTGTGCAAAAATTATAAATTATCGTTTATTTTCTGTTGTCAAAATAATTGTGTTATTGATTTACCGCACGGTCTGATTTGTATATATCCTAAATAATTATTACATTCATTTAATTTGTAACACAATGCATAATTATTACTGCTCATTAATTACTTTTTGATTAAGTGATGTATTTAATGATAATAAAAAAAAACTTATAAATATTTAACCACCACAAGACATGTGTTATCGCTTACAACTAAGAGCTTCTAGTATCTCGTTCAACACTAATAAAGGTAAATTATGATTTACTATAGCATAGGATGATTTGATCCTTTACAATAGCGTATTTTAGCATGTACCTATAGCAATCTAATATTTAGACGAGATTGTTATAGAAACACATTTATATATAATAGATGTAGGGTGACTTTTTTGGTAAACGTTGGTCAGATGTCACCTATGGGGAATGGCCCATATAAGTTGACAATCTTAAAGTTAGGCATAGGTTGTTGATATGTACCTTAAATTTAAAGTCATATTGAACTAAAAACAATGCCGCAAACTGGACTTCAAATGGACAACTGAGTCTTAAATGGCAGCCGAACAAAGATTTATTAAATCTGCTATTTTGAGTATATTAACGACTGCCTTTTTCCAAGTTGTTCTTTTGAACTCAATGCAGCATTTTATTCTATTTATAAGAACCTTTAATTTATTATGCATATCTACCTATTTTGATGTTCAAAAATTCTTTCATCATATAGCGGTTGCCCCCCTAAAAGGGTTGCGTGTAATAGCATTGGAAAATTCAATGACTATTTTAACAGATGTCATTTATGACTTGATTGTCCATTTTAGATCCGGTTTGCGGCATTGTTTTGAGTTCAACAATACCTTTAATTTTATGTCTAAATCAACCTATGCTTACCATTACCATTTTCAACTTAAGCCTGCTTCCTTTGGGTCGTCCCCTATAGTTTACATCCAAATACAAAGTACACAAAAAGTAGTTTACTATTACCACTCATAATGAAACTTATTTGTCACTCCGTATAATAAATACGTAATTCAAAATCAATGAAAAGTTTAATCAACACTAAACACTGACTTCTCAGTGTCCCCAAGTCCAGACATGTACATAATGTTAAGTTTGTTTTAGATGAAATTCGCATCAGCTTTCATCGTGGCATTTGCTACCTTTCTGGCATTCGTCGATGTAAGTATACAAATTAAACTACATGTAGTAGTAAATTTAGTAATATTTACTGACTTATTGCTAGAGACAAGTTACATACTGGGTGAAGTCAATATAATAAATCTCGTACTAACTTGTAAAACGATAGCTGTTTTTATTTTCAAGCGTTTCAGCTACCGGTACTGTTTTCTAAGTGTCGCCAATGCTAATAAGTGTTGAAATATCTTATTAGTGGAAATAAAAATCACCTAGCTTTTAAATATTGTTTTATAAGTGTTTCCTTAATGTTTTTTTTTTTTTTTGGGAACACGCACAAAGTAAGAATAACATTTGATAAAAACATTGAAATAGTGTATAGGTATTTAACATTAACATATTTATATCCTATACTTGGTAAATCTAAGTAACTTATTGTTCTTGTTTCTGTTTAGCTCACGATCGCCAAACCTGAACCTAAGCCTTTTGGAACTTATACCTCCTAGATGTGATGTTTTTTTTATGGTTAACTTGTTTCGCAATAAAGAGAAATTAAACTTTATGAGAGTTGAAATTATGATGTTAATGAATATTTGTTCCAAAAACCTACAAGTCAAACCCTTATGCTGCTCGTGGACACCTTTGTCATATTCTAAACTTGGCTAGATGTTATCAGAAGATAACGTTCTTCCTTGTTCAAGAAAATGATGCTCCTACTCTTACACTACAATCCTGCTTTTGTTTTACAAATACTCCTCGTGAACAGCTGAAGCGATCCGCATGTAATTCAGCACAGCTATAGTAACCTACTATGGGAAGGGTACATCATTTAATCGGACGAAAGGACTTAACTATACCTGAATTTAAATTGTAAGAAATTTAACATTGGCCTCATGGGTTGAGAATAGGAACATTTTATTTAAATATTTAGAAACTCCTTTAATGCAATAGCGTCAAAATTTTTTCTTAAGATAAGGTGAAAAGTATACGTGCGATATAATGATACTTATACAGGGTGCCCCACGAGAGGTGTCTCAAATTAATTACGGAAAAACGGCTTAACCTATAAGGATGAAATATTTTTTTTTACATTAAATTGACCCCGAGGAATAACGTAAAAATATTTTTAACATCTTTCCGATACACGGTGTGCCAAAAAACAGAGGGTCACAACTTCGAATCTCGCAATTTTCAAACGTAAACATATATCATGATGTGCTGATGATATCGACGAATTTTCCTATATCAAATGCATTCTATTTGGGTTTAACACAAAAACTTTTTTTCCTTAAATGGGGCCGTTAGTGTTAATCCCAAATAACATGCATTTGATATAGAAAAAACTAGGTTTTTTGTTATTTACACAAAACCTAAAAGAGATACGAAGTATGTGTAAATTACAAAGTTGTTCAGAATTAAAAGAGCAACAAACCGATTTGCCTTTTGGCATATGTTTCTTTTTTTAAATTTTGAACGATGGTCATTTGCAAAATTTTTCAAATATTTTTTTAAATACTTAATATTGCACACATATTCAATTTTCTCTACATTGCAAATCAAACAATCATGATTTGTAAATTATTAGTATCATACATATAGCTGTATGTTATAGTGATAATCTGTAGGCTAAGGTTGTTTAACAATATGCCATAAAATCCTTCAGACGTGATGTCCAGAGGCTGCTCTACTGACACCTCTCCGCTCTCTATAAGTGTTGGTTATTTGGTGGTGCCTCTAAAGGGCCACATGCTGGGTGCCGGGAAGTGCTGATTCGTGTCAAGTGATGGGATTTGTGCTCTTGGAGTTCCTTGGTGGTGCCTTTAGGCCCCGGCCACACGAGGCGAATTTAAGCCGCGCGGCTTATATTCGCGCGAAGTTAAGCCGCGCGAAGTGCCTGGCCACACGGGGCGGGTGAACTGCTTCCTGTTTGGTTTTTACAGTATCAGTACTCTATTAAAACATAGTTCAGTTCACTCTTTTTAGTCATGGGCGAAACACTTATGTTAGTTTGTGCATTAAAAGCGTGTGGTGATCTGGAACGTTAACATAAATCATTGGGTCCATCCCTTCATAACGGAAAAACAATTTTTTGTGTTCCAAACCTTTTACGAGCACATGCGAAACCATAGTTCGGAGTTCATATGTATCAAACATTGTTTGAACACCACACGACCGGTAAAAAATACAAAAAACAAACTCAAAAACCACTGGTAATGTCCGAAGAATATCTCCAATAAGCGCGGCTGCCGCGCGGTCGAACCGTATCGTGTGGCCACTCTCATAAGACTACGTGTGTCATCCCCTCCAACGCGGCTTAACTTCGCGCGGTCGGGGGACGACATGTTGCGGCTCAACCGCACATGCGGCTAAACTTCGCCTCGTATGGCCACTCTCATTTGATTCAATGTGTTGTCGAAGCCCTTAACTTCGCGCGGTTAAACCGCCTCGTGTGGCCGGGGCCTTAGAGGGCCACACGCTTGACAGTGTTAAGTGATGAAATGTCTTGTTGTCAGCATTCTATCAAAAGGTTTTTCTCCCTCCAGATCCATCCTTTTGTTATATAGTTTTGTTTTTATGTTACGTTAGCTTTTTCACAGTTTATTATATTGTTATCTATTGCCATAGTCTATTATTGTTATGTATAGTAAATTTATTAATGTTAATTATTTACAATGTTGTCATTTTTATGATTACTGATTGTTATTGATGTTAATTATTCACACTTATTGTTATTGTAGTTAATTATTTACACTGTTTCTTGTTATTGTTATTGACGTTTATTATTCACCCTGTTTCTTGTTATTGTTATTGATGTCAATTGCTTACACTGTTTCTTGTTATTGTTATTGATGTCAATTATCTACACTGTTTCTTGTTATTGCAACTTTTTTTCACAATGTTGTAACTGTTGCAATTTTACTCAAACTGTCCACCACCACCACCAAACTTCTTACTCATTTATTGGTGTTTTCTATTGTATTATCTTGTTGCATGTAAATCTTGTCAATGTATTATTTTGTAAAATGGCGCTTGCCGTCGGAATGATTAAATAAATAAAATGACTCATTTTGTCATTGGGCTTCCAAATGACTCGTTCTAACAAACTTATGGTGTTGTACTAGACAGGAGAAAATAACGTGTTTTGACCATTTTCACATTTATATTACAGATATGCATTCTTCGTCACTACAAGTAAGTAAAAACACATAGTTTACACAAAGTTGTTGGGGATAGAATGAAAACATAAACTTTTATTTTCTTGATGATTTATTCGTCACAAACTCCTTTCAGATAACATTGTTCACTTTTTATTTTTAACTATTATAGTAGGTTCTGGTTCAGGTTCGCCAATCGTGCACTAAACAGACACAATAATACATTTAGTTTCATCTAAATATATTCAACATTATAATCTATATAATCCATTTTTGTTGCAGAAGGCGAATACTTACCTTGTGTTCACGTGTTTATCATTGGCAAAACGCCTATAAAAATTTACAGGGTGTCCCGAACCTCCTTACCAATATGTTAGGACATTGTTCCTGAGTAATAAATGTATCTAAATATCATATTCTAACTGTCTGGTCATATTCTTAAGTCCGCACACAGCCACCATTTTGTTTTTTCACTCAATAATTGTTTCTTCTAAAAAGTAGTTTAACATACGAAACTAGTAAAGATATGTCTAGATATGCACAAACATTTATAACAACCAGACAAAACTACAAAAACATATGACAGCTTTTCAAATTCATAAAACAAAATGGCGGCTACTTAAAACTTGTGTAAAATCAACGGTTTTTATTTATTATGGAAAAAATGTTAATGGCCACCATTTTGTTTAATTAATTTTTTAAATAGTCATATTTTTTTGTAGCTTCGCATAGTTCTTATAAACTGTTTTTGCAAAGTTTCAATTTGGTATCTTAAACTTTTTTTATTAATAAGTGAACAAAACAAAATGGTGGCTGTGTGAGTAACTAAGGACTTCCGGAAAATTTAAATATGATATTTATATAAACATTTTTTACTCAGGAACAATGCCCTAAGGTATTGGTAGAGAGTTCTGGGACACCCTGTATATTTTAAACACGCAGGGTTCATTTTATACCATCAAAATGTTTTGAAATAGGTAAAATTGGCCTCTATAACAGATATAGCCGATTTAAAAATTATTTAACGTTATCCACTGCTGACATTAACTACAGTGGGACAAACTTATTATCAAAAATACAGTATATACTAAAGTATTGACAGTTTTCATGAGGGAACAAAAACAGCAACACTTAATTGTACTTAAAACATTACTTCCAAAGGATATCTACCTACTCTGTATACGCATAGTTCAAGTTTTTGCAAAGGTTTGCCTTGATTTGGGTTCATTACCCTCTATACCAAAAAGGAAAAACTTATGAAACCATACTCAAAAAGAAAGGTGATTTAATTTCACACAATTCACATATTTAACGACTTATAATGATTACAGGTGAAATTCTGAAAATCAGTAATAAAACACTTCACTGTATTCGTTAACAAATTTATGATTATATTCATTGACTTCAGCCAGTACTAAGATTAATAAGGCGAGGAGTTAGTAAGTATAACTAAATGTAGTATAACATGTTGTTTAAGTTGCATACTTACATTGACCAATACCAGAGAGGTAGTTAGTGCCGCCAGGAGGAGTGGTTTCCTTTATGCTGCGGTTCAGGTTTGGCAACCGTCAACTGAAAAGAAATAAAAAAATGTTACAGACTTTAATTTTCCTAAGATAAATATATAGTCATGCCAGCAAATCAGTGAATATTACTAAATAAAGTACCAAAATTAGTTTTTTTTATACTTACATCGACGAATGCCAGAATGGAAGCAAGTGCCACGATGGCAGCTGATGCGAAAGACATCTGTAATAAATCTTTTGATTTAATGGCCAGTTGTATTAATTTTTCAACAAACAACAATTGATATTTAACCACATACAGTATGTGCATTTGTTCGGTACTATATTACATAGCACACCCATTTTTTATAATTTTTTTTTCATTCTTATCATCTATAAATGTTTACACTAAGAACTATTTTTATCTTAAAATTCAATTTTACGAGGGTTGAAATAAACGTAAAAAGTGACCTAAAAATATTTTAACTTTCGTAGCTTGATCATCATTCATATAGTTTGTAATTTAAAGATGAAAACTTTATAAAGTACTCATGAAACAAAACTGAAAACAACAATGCGAATCTAAATAGACGCCAATGATCAATGTTTAAATTTTCAGTTTGAAAAAATTTTGACACTAATTTAAATTGATTGTTAGGAACAATTGAGAAAATTTATAAATTTAAATATGATACCACTGGATATGTTTAAATAGTCCCATTATAAACTGTTACAATAAATACACTATGGTTTTAATCTTACCTTTGCAGTTGGTTGGGGTTTAAAGTTAGAAGTGATATGTGTCCTCTAGAAGTTTACATGTTTATATACCTATTTTGATCGACATAAAACATATCAGCCGATCCAATCGTTAAAAATTAATTGGTGATAACAAGTAAGTAAAACGCCATACA